AGAGAGAGAGAGAGAGAGAGAGAGAGAGAGAGAGAGAGAGAAGCTAGCTAGCTGCTAGCTACAGGGGAAATTTTGGCTTCTGAATCTGCCAGTGTAGATCACTCACAAACTTGTGAGTGACAAAGTTTGTGGAGTTTGTGGGAAATAGTTGGATGTCCTACAGTTTCCAGCTTAACCCTTCATAAAATCAGAATAGATGCCTTATGATGGGAGATGTTGAGCTTTGTCCCTGTGCTTGGGCATCATTTTTACAATGTCTTTGGAGAAATAGAAAGATCTTTACCCATCGCTTTTGCTGCACTCTTACTGTGAAGGGGGCTCTTTTGTCTGGTGACTACTAGCCCTCTGTTCGATTCCATAACTAGCAATGGTTTTTCACTCACCCTTTAAGTTGCCTTTTTACTATGTTGTTCTTGATCTCTGACACACTGAGCTTCTAAGCTTACCTACTGTTTTCCTTTTGTCACCAGTTTTAGTATCATATCCAAGAAATCATCATCAAGCCTGATGTCATGAAGTTTTTCCTATATATCTTTTACTAGTAATTTTGTAGTTTTGGGTCTTATGTTTATGTTTTTATCTAATTCTGGATGAATTTCTGTATGTGCATACATATCCGTGGGTGTGCATGTGTGTGTGTGTGTGTGTGTGTGTGTGTGTGTGTGTGTTTGCAAAACTTCATTCTTTGCATATGGATATGCCGTTTTCTACAACAACATGCTAAAGAGTTCTTCTTATCCCTCTTCGTTACCCTAACACCTTCTTTAAAGATTATTTGAGCAGATTTGAAGGGTTTATTCCTGAGTTCTCTATCTACCCCATGGATCTATTTCTTTTTCTGCTGGTAGCATGTTGTGGTCTGCTGAGCAGCTTAATGGGAGAGATAAGGGTGTGGATAGCATGATATGGAGCAGAAAAGGCTAGCCATGCCTTTCCCAAGCTTGTGTTCATATAATTTCACTAGTGTTAGCCCTTATGATCTCTATAAAGTCCAAATTTCTTACCTGTATTTCTCAGTTTGAAGCTACCGCCTTCCAGCTTACACCTGACTCTTTCTATTCTACTCTATAACTCTTTTTAAACGTTAGTGTATATATATATATACATATATATATATTCCTGCATATACATATTTACACTATGTATGTGCTTGATTCCCACAAAAGCCAGAAGAGGACATTAGATATCTCTTCATTGGAGCTACAGAATGTTGTAAGCCACCAGATATGGCCATTGGGAATCAAACCTAGATCTTCTTCAAGGACAATAAAGGCTTTCAATCTCCAAGTCAGCTCTCCACCACTATCTTCCCTATATAATTCTTACAATGGAGTCTGTATATTATTTTTCCCATGGGCATTTGACAACTGATTTCCTGTGATTTTTCTGCCAGCTGTAGTCATTTTTGGACTTGGAAAATAAAATGCTGTTGAGCAAGTTTCCTTTCTACCTTTCTGCTTCTCTAATTGTAGCTTCTCTACAATTAGTTATAACCTTCAATCTTTTGCCTTTTCTACCATACTTGGGAAACCCCTCACTTCTGCTGAAGCACAGCTGTACACATCTGGCCTCCACTAAGCCTGTCTTTATCCTGTGTCTCCTGGTCCTACCTATCGGAGTTGTTCCATGAAGTAGCTATTTGAGTTTACAACACACACACACACACACACACACGCACATAGATCCCCAACCATTACAGGTTATTATTTCAAGTGCTCTTGATTACCCTTCAGAACTTGGTAGTGAGATCCTATTGCTGAAATACCATATATTTGAGTCACAAAACATGGAGGAATAAAACTGGTAATGGCCTGAAAGAATCACCACTACCGGCTAGCTTTCATAGTGCTATAAGGTTCTGTACATGCTAACAAGGGAGAAAAATAATTATCAATCTTGCACAGCTGCAAATCTTATGAGCTACAAAAATAATTGCCCTGACCAGACATGCCTACTGGTATAATAGTGGTATGAATGTTATTGGAGTAATCACCTGTTTTCTGATTGGTCCACCCTGTGAAATGGAGCCTATACCTGGCAACACTATTGGGACCAAGAACCTGCTGCTAGGTAGATCATAGGCCCTGGGAAATAACTTACTTCTACTGGACATAGTATTAAAATAACTTCTAATGACTTATTGCTATAGATTATGCATCTCTCAACACTCATCAGAGAAGCTTCTTCTTATAGTAGAGGACCATTAATACAGAGATCCCCAACAAGTCAGTTTGTAGTGAATAAAACACTGGAGTGCTCAGCTCTAAACAGAATGTCTGTATCACACTCCTCCCCCAAAGCTCAGGGATTGTCCCAGCAGAGAGGGTGAAAAGATTACAAGAGACAGGAGTTGTAGGAACTGTGTCTTCCAGACACAACAAAGCAGTTGTACACATAAACTTGCTGTGACTATGATAGCATGCACAAGACCATACAAGTTCGAGCGAGATAAAATTTTATTATGGAGCAAGGCAGGTGAGCATGAAGTCCCACACTTGGCAGAGAAACTATTGGCCTTTGATAACTTTAAGGGTAGGTTGGCCACTCTCTAGGGCAAGTCCCACACCCAAGAATATTTAGACAACACAAATTGGACTCCATGGGTTTAAAACTAAAGAGAAAAGGGAGAGACACACAGAAAGAGAGAGAGAGAGAGAGAGAGAGAGAGAGAGAGAGAGAGAGACAGATTGAACAAAGTTGGGTGGGCAAGGAGGTAGGGTGGATTGGGGAGCAGTTGAGAGAAGGGGTGAATATGTTCAAAATATATCTTTAAAGAATTGATAAAATATTTTAGAATACTTATGATAAAGGGCTAGAGAGATAGTTCAGGAGTTAAGAGCACTGGTTGCTCTTGCAGAGAACCTGGATTTGGTTCCCAGAACGTCCATAATGCCTAACATCCATGTGTACGTCTAGTTCCTGGGTTCCAGTACCTACTTCTGGCCTCCAAGGGCACCAGGCACACACAGGCATGCAGACAAAACACCATATAAGTAAAATACAAATAAATCTTTCAAAGAAAGCAATGCTTATGAGATACACTCTACACAGATGTTCCAGTGCAACACAGAATTATTCCCTGTAGGCACAGAGCTGTATAGCAGACTGGAGTTACACATGCTGCACCACTGAGACCTCAAACCTGGTGAAACACAGCTTCCCAGGCTTCATTTGTGTCCCAATCCTCAGGCAATCACCATTCAACACTCTGCTTCTATGAGCTTCCCTGCTTGGAGTATATGATATATGTCCTTTGTGGTCTAGTTATTATATCAAGCTTTAGATACTCAAGGCTCATCCATATTGCATATGACAGAATTTCCTTCCTTTTTAAGGAAATGCTGTTGCATTTCATGAATATGTTGTGCTTCCCTTATCCTTTCATCCAACAATGAACAGTCAGTTTGTTTTATTATAAATCATGCTACCATGAGCCAGGGTACTAGACCTTGATTTCAGTGATTTGGGGAAAATATCCACACTGGGATCACTGGATCTGTGGTAGTTCTGTTTCCAATGTTGTTTTGTTTTGTTTTATCTTGTTTTGTTTTTAAGAGATTTCCATTCTGGTTTCCAAAGAAACCACACCATTTTGCATCCACACAGGAGCCCCATTTCTCCATAGAGGTAACTTTAATAGTAATAAGCAGACTGATAAAGTTTACCTAGTCATATGAGAGTCATGTCACCAGATTAAGGAGCTTCTGGAATAGAGACTGGAGAAGCCTAGGGATGTAGTTCTTAACAGTCAAGGAGAAATAAAGAAAATTAAATGTTGTACCTGTAAATTCTAACTGAAAATTATACTTGCTCTACTCAAATCAAATTAACTTCTTCCTTCTCTTTCTCTACCTTCTTTTCTCCCCAACATCTCCTAGTTTAATGTAGGTATTACCATTTGAGAGTTTGTTCCTCAATTTAGTTATTCAAGAAAAACCAGGTTCTAAGGACTGGTAGCTGGTAACTTTACCTTTGTGTGAATTTGCATCAAAACTCTTTGCAGATGGCATGGAACCAGAGGAGCTCTCTAGCCAGTGGTCCTCAGAGTGAGAAGTCCCACATTTCTCTAGAGCAGTGGTTCTCTACCTGCATTTCTCAACAGATATCCTGCATTTCAGGTATTCCCATTATGATTCAT